TGTTTTATAGAATTTAGTGCAGGATATGATTTTCATCGAAAAATTTAAGGCTATGGGGAAATTTTTTGGGAAAAATTTAATTTCACTTTAAAGTGTAAAAACATTTTCTTTTCAGAGTACAATGTTCAAAGAACATATAAGTGAAATATCATCATGATATTTTAATTAGAAAATTTTTAAAAAGTTATTATAATGCGCGGACTCCGAGACCGCACGTGCCCTGCTATGAACTTTTTCACCTCCCCTGTTACGGGTTAATTATGCATTTACTGTAAATACAGTGTTGCAAAGACTTCAAAATTTCAGTTATTTGAAGTCTAAATTTACATTATTTTCATTTCCCTTAAAATTGAACATCAATAACACATCAGAAATTTATACATGGAGCTAATTAATGCCCAGTGTGATATAAATCTTATTCAAATATTTAAAGATAGGATTTTATTAACTTTATTCGTACTTGTCAAAAAATAAATAAGCTCAGTTACAAATTTTTGCACTAAGAATAAACACTTTGTTTAGGAATATATATACTTATAAACAGCTTTTCTTCATAGATGAAAATTAATTTATTGGTAAAGAAGCTGCCCCTTTTTCAACTGCTAAATTTAAGAGGTGACAGGTGCACCTCATAATCTGAATTTTCCTTTCTTAAGATGTCTGCAACACAAGTCTTCCAAGCCTACCAATACTGGTGCATTATCGGCACCATGTGCTAAGCAATTATCCAGAGGGCCTGCATTTTCTTTTAAAGTTTTAATAATTAGCTGTGCTATATTAAAGCCTGTCAAATGTCCTTCTAAAGTGGGAACATAAAGTAAACTTCACTCAATTTCTTAAGACTCTGGATCAAAAAAAGAAACAACAATTGGATACAGTTTTGAATTGGTATTATTGCTTCCATCCGTAGAGAGGCAGAAAGGAGCTGTTTTAATGCAATCAATAACTGAAGATTTATTTTTCAAACCCATTTCTTTAACAATTGCACCTGTTTTGATTCTTGCACCTTGAGTATTTCTTAGCAATTTCACTATTGGGAAACATTTTTCTAATAAAGCTGCAGCGTGATCCGATGCTTCAGTGGCAGGTTTGCTCCAGTAAAAAGGCAGGAGAACAGACATCTGCGTTAATAACTTTTTGGTCCTTTGTTTCCGAAGAAAAATTATATTTTTCGTTATTTTAAAAACTACTCATGTTATCCTTGTGTTTTAGTGTACGCACATGTTTGAGAACATCCGCCCTTCCACAATGCGAAATCGAAAAATCGCAACGAAAGGCGGTACACATGGCAAATTTATTACATTTTCTTGAGGAAATAATGGAAGGAAAGTCAACTGTGTACGATTTTTGAAACGTATAGGAGTATTTCACCTTTCTCGCAGACGTAACAAAAGATGATAATTTCTAAAACTATTTTTCTAAGGCACGTATACTCACACAACTCAGGACAAAATGAACGAAATAACTAAAGAATGTCCAAATAACAACATGCTTTGTCCTCATTGGCTAATATATGCCAGCTGACACGCAGTGGAGCTCGAAGCCCATTGGAAAACTGGAGAAGGACGTTTCTGGATACGTATAATGCTCTCACTCACAAAGCAGAAGCTATCTGATTCGCAAGGTTTTGTTTTAGATATAATGCAGAGAAAATTCAATTGCTTTCAGACATCTAAAAGCACTCTTTTTTTTATTCATATAACAAAATATTAAGCCAAGTTGCATAAAAATCGTGAGAAATTTTAAGAATAAGAAAAAGTCGGGAGAAATATATTGTAAATCGGGTTGGTGGGAGAGCGGTCGAAAATTGGGAGAGTTGGCAACACTGAAAATGCTTTATCAAAGGTCAGAAATTCCTTAAAGTGCATGACAAAAGCAAAACCGGTGCAAGGTGAACACGCACACCATTTTCTTTGACCTGCGCCTTCGAATTTCGAAGAAACGAACAATAGAGTATCCGGCTCCACATGAACAATAGAGTGGCGCCTGTCAATCATGATTAAAGTTTACATGAGAAAGGTATCATTTCATCACCTTTTTGGGATGATTTTAGTGCCAAAGCTTTGAATGATGAGTATTTTACCTCCCTCTTGATCTCAACACCTTGAACCCGAAACACCAAGGTTTCTTCAGACCACTTTAATCAGTGAATTGTGCGTAAGTCTTGCCTCCCCTGCCAAAATGCCATGACGGGACTTGACGTTAGCTGAAAAAATTGGTTTCCTTGATAAGATTAAGCAACAACCATGAAACACTAGTCAGCATCAGTTGGTGGAAATAACCAGATTGGCAAAGACTACAATTTCGTGCTTGATAAAACAAGGGAATAAGCTGTGAGAAGAATAGGCACAATGTGAAGGACGAAGAGGAACTTCCAAAAAACGGAAGCGTGAAGGCAAAGACCCAGATGTTGATGAGGCCCTTAATGAATGGTTTGCCATTGTTACTGGGCGATCTGTGCGAGTAAGCGGCCCAATGTTAAAATGCAAAGCAGAAGAACTCGTTAAAAAGCTGAGCAATGTTGACTTTAAAGCTATGGATGGTTGGTTGTCTCGATGGAAATCTAGACATGACATAAAATTCAAGAAAGCACATGGCGAGAAAGAAAGTGCTGATAGTGCAAATGCTGAAGAATGGAAATCAACAAAACTGCCCGAGCTTCTTGAAAATTTTTTAGCAGATGACATCTACAATGCTGATGAGACTGGGCTGTATTATCGTGCTACACCGGACGGCTCGTTAAGTTACAAACATGTTGCACTCTCTGCCTCCAAAAAAGCGATGGATCGCGTAACTGTCTCATGCTGCTCAAACATGTCAGGAACGGACAAGAGGAAGCTGTTGGTTATAGGAAAAAGCACCAAGCCTCGCTGCTTTAAAGGATTTAGGATGGACAGCTTACCAGTTGTGTATCGTGCGTGGATGACCTCTGAGCCTTTTAAAGAATGGCTGAAGGATTGAGACAGAGAGCTACAACACCAGTCGAGAAAAGTGCTGCTTCTTCTTGACAATCAAGCAGCAGGTCCTCATTTATATTGTTTGATGAACGTCTAACTGGAATTTCTACCTCCCAGGACCACAACTTTGGTCCAGCCAATGGATGGGCATCATAAAAATTTAAAAACCCTTTATCTTGCAAGGTTGGTTAATTACATCCTTGTAGCAACTGAAGAAAGTTTGCTGACCTCATCGTCAAAAGCCAGCGAAATCAGTGCAAAGGTCAACATCTTACAAGCAGTTACATTTGTGGCCGACAAGCACTTGATTTTGGAGATGAATGTGGGCATGTTCATTGAAAGTGAAAATGATGATTTACATGTGGAACTTCAACAGGTAAAAAATTACGAAGAATTTTTATCCATTGACGACGAGCTTCAATTCTATGATGAAAATGAAGATTACGACGCTGCAATCGTTGCTTGAGTTACAGCAAAACACACGACAGCATTGGAAGAAAGTGATGATGATGCCACTAATAAGTTGGTGCAAGTGACAACACAGGATACGAGGAAATGCACTGAAACTTTGCGTCTGTATTTCATGCAGGAGGGAAATGAAGGCAGTCCCATTGCTGTGTTAGACGTTTGTGGCGATTTCGTTCATGTGCAGTCCATCAAGAGAATGCGTCAGATCACATTGGATAAGTTCTTCAAATGTCGACTGGAACTTGGTAAGAAATTGTTTTTATTGTGCTTCGCATGTTGAGTATCGTGAAGTTTCTCGGAATTTGTTTCTAAATTAACTTTCTCAATGAAAAAAAGTTTGACTGTATTTCTTGTTTGTACATGTATGTTTGCCAACGTGTGTACCTCATAATTACAAGTTCATAATTACATTTTAGTACATGATTTACATGTGCATTTATTGTTTGCTACATATAGCATATTTTGTTTCACAACATAGGACATGTTCATGTAATCGGAAGCACCGGTTATTAGGACTAAAACGATCGCTTCCCGATGTGGTCCTGAAGTGTCAAGCTGTAGTAAGAAATAAAGATGTTTCTAATTATTTGCATACAAATATTTGTATTTTTATTAATGAGTCAAAAAATTTAATAAATAAGAGAAATAAGACACAATATTGTTATGATTTATTCTCAAATTTTATTCCACTTGGTAAATTTTCTCTAAAAATGTAGAAAGTTTGTTTAAGTGTAGTTTAAATTAAAGTAAGTTATTCAATGATTAATTAAACATGTTAGAAAAGTATTTGAAAGGAATATCAATCTGAGAATTTCATATTTGAATTACAAAGTGTACCCAACAAAAATGTACTGAACTTTAGAATTCAGATAGAAAATAATTATAATTTTGAATTTTCTCAGATTGCAGTATTATTATTGTTTATGTATGGTTTGATAAATATTCAGTAAGCAAAAATTTATTTAAAATATTTTTTATTTCATTAAAATAAATAATTAAAAAAATCTTCTGGCCCATCAGCTGTTTTTAAAATTGCACATTCAGCCTGCAAGAAATAGGAGTTTGAGACCACTGGCATATAACAAGAATAACACCAACTGCCATATATACGAGTCTCTTAAAACTGTCATTTACAAGAAATGCAATATATAGTTCTTAAATTATAATCTTTTTCGTTCATTCTACTCCACTGGAATATAACAAGAATGACACCAACTGCCATATATACGAGTCTCTTAAAACTGTCATTTACAAGAAATGCAATACATAGTTCTTAAATTATAATCTTTTTCGTTCATTCTACTTCATAAATAGCAGTCATAAAGCAGACAGCCCTATAAAATGCATACTTTTGCAAATAAAACTGCTTAAATAAATAAATAAAGAATTTCAATTTTTACAACCTATTGATAAAATTGAAAATATTTTAATAGTTCCAAACAACTAACAATAAACTGGCAGAATCCCACTGCTATTACAAGGGTTACAAAACACACTTAAAAAAAAAATCTAACACATGCACGGAGTACAGCAAGGAAAAATGAATTATTAATATAAGCCATACTTTATACTTACATTATAAACATCATTTCCAAAGATATAATCCCATACTTGCTTCTCTACTTCCCAATTAACAATATAGCCCTATAAATTGAATAAAATAAACAATATATTTTAAAACTCATTTGTTCCTAAAAATTGATTACAGTTGTAAAATTAAAAATAATAATAATACAGAAAATAATGAAACATAAATCTAATCAACCATTTTTTTCAAAACTTTTGTTCACGTTTTAATCGAGTTATTATCTTTAGATTTTTTATGTGCAATTATTTGCATTATTATAAGTTGTACACTGCATATTACAGAGAAAAATATAATGGGTCACTGAAGAAAACCATCTCTATAAAATGGGTCAATGCTAGAAAAAGTTTGGGAATCCCTGATCTAGATGAAATTTAGAATATTACTAAATCTGATTCTGCAGCAAAGTGAAAGAAAAAATAGTTGAAATTCATCCTATTTACCATATTTCCTTATACATTCCCCCCTAGTTTTTTAGCATATGATTTAGAAATTTCTGATTTATGGTAACTATGTGATAAGTATGCAGAAACAGGAAATTATTTTGTGCAAGTAAAAAAAATACTACTGAAATTGTTAAGTCCTTAGAATTACACGATATAATATCAGTTTGCTCTTATGTGTGCTTTTTAATATGCTATGTGTATCATTTAAGCCATCTCTTTAGAAATAGTATCTTCTATGTATTTTTCCTCTCCTGGTTTTCAAATTGTAAAATTAATAGGTACAGGGAAATAAAATATGTAAGTAAATACAGAACTACAAATAAACAGTAAAATATATGCTAATGTGCAGTAACACTCATCAGCAAGTGTTTCCCAAAAAAAAGTTTTAATGATCTGATAGATTTTTGCAAAATAATAAAATATTTTTAATGAATCTCAAAAATCTACCTGCTTTAATTAACAATACCGATTTTAATATGGTCTTTTCAAAGATTTTAAAATTCTAATCTCTTTAGATTTTTACTTTTGTCTAATAAATGGCACCAAGTTTGGCCAGTTCATTGTAACTAAATCAACTCCTGATTACCTCAGAGCAGATTAACTTGCCCTTGTCTAAAAGAATAACTTTTATTATTGATTATTACTGAATTATGATAAAAATATTATCACAAACTGTCAGTGTAATAAAAATTACTCAGAAAACATAAGGAAAAGAAAATGTGGACTAACAGAAGTGACAGTAGAATGATATATGAGAGCATTTAAGAGTTACTCGTAACTGTATGTAATTCAATCGCACATATCTGAAATACATATACATCATTTATTTATTATATGTACACTGCATAATCCAAAATATCAATACAGCCACAAATCTTATGTTTCCCATTGATTCTTATTGAAATATAGGAATAATGTAAAGAAAAATAAATAACAGGTGCACTGTGAAACCAGGAAGAAACATAAATAGTGCCAGCGAAAAAACCAATAAAGAAAAAACTCTGAATATTGATTTACTTTACATATGTAAGGTATATTTTAATGTTACAACAGTTATTTGAAGTTTTTGCCACTTTCCTATCTCTTGTAGCTTCAGCTTACAAATCCTTACCAAAATGAGTTCTTAGAATCACGTTAAACACAAATGAGAAGTAGAGCAGTATTTAAGTCAAGTTAAACTGACTTTGCCAGAGTTAAGACTCCTGAATAGCGTGCGTTTGCCTTTTGGTTTGCTCGATCATATTGCGTGCCTTTTGATAGCTTCGCTAGCTAATTTAATATTACGAGCCAACTAGTTCAAAATTCTAGTTAGAAACTTCAGCTAAATCTCTTTAGTTAGTCATTAGTTCTTATTTCTTACATTCTGAGTTAGAGCCCAAATGGAGACTTTAATGTACGCTCTGAGAAAGGGGCCAATTGTATATCTTTGTTCAGAGCAAATAAAAGGTAATTAACCCTTCTTGAGTTCACGTTTCTATTCTTGTACTAAAGCAATTATTCACTTAGCAGTTCACTAGGTTCCTCGACATTACATTTTAACAACATAAAAGTGAAAAACTGTACAAACAAATGAATTATTCTGAAGATTAAATTGCTTTAAAATATAGGTATATTTTCAATGGTATTTTTCCATCAAATATAGGTTATAATTTCTTGTCCGACTTCAGATATTAAACTGTCATCTGTATTACCCCAATTAATCAGGAATTAATTAATTAATTATTAAATTCTTAGCCTCCAATATAATGCATAATAATATGGCTTCTGAAGAACAGTGACATTAGTGCCCGACTCCCTTGAAATTGATAATAATTTTCAAAATCTACATTAACTCATTATCCATACAAAATTTCTGACACATAGCCTAAATGTCATTAAAATATCAATTCTACTTATCAAAAGAACAGGAAGATAATATATTTTCATGTACACTGTGAAAAAAAAAAAAAAAAAAATTATATATCTTGTTCTACTGTGCCGATTAACAAAATCCAAGTTGTGTTTTTTCATGTCTCAAAAGCACATCTTAGGATATATATTAGATTTATATATAGCATTGTTCTAATATAGGGATTTTGACACACAATCGGACTTTTTCTGCAAATGACGTCAATTTTTTTCATATTTCGATTCTATGACTCAAATTATATGCCTAAATATTAAATTTTGTAAAATTTGGTGTGAAATTTACAAAGAAATTCAAAAATTTATCTTGCCATATTTTTTTCAGTTTGCACCAAGAATAGTTTACAACGCGGACTTCTTAATATATGGCAACCTATTTTCCTTTCCCTTCTTACATTGTGCACCAGAGAGAAAAGTCACATCGTTCCTAATTTTAACAAAGTGCCTAAACCACATTTAATGTTTTATCGCTTTCAACAAATATGCCAAATTTCAAAACGTGCCAATACATAAATTCACGTATACCTTCGGACATTTTGAATAAAAAAACTTACATTTTTTGCAGGTATGCTTAGAAATACATCTACTTGAAAATGATAAAAATTTTATAGGTTATAATTCAAAAGTTTTTCAAAAAATTTATAAAAATCATTTAAAAATACAAATTTTAAAAATAAATCATAAAATATGGGCAAATTTGATTTGAAATGAACCTAAATTTCAAAATGTGAAAGGAAGAATCAAATAAGTTTAATAAATATATACGAAATTCAATTAACATTGAGGAACTAAAATTTTGAGAGCTAATTCTTTAAAAACTACTCATGCGATTTTTACGAAACTTGGCTGTTTGGCATCATTCGAGTCGTAGAATCGATATATGGAAAAAAATAAACTGGCATAACATTTCAGAAAACGTCCGATTTTGTGTCAAAATATCTGTATTAGAACAATGCTATATATAAATCAAATACATATTCTAAGTTGAACTTTTGAGACATAAAAAACGGAAGTTGAATTACGTCAATCAGCCCAGTAGAATGGGAGTATAGAACTGTCCCATTTTTCTTTTGTACAGCATACAAGCCAAGAATTTTTGGAAATTTTTCTAAATCTAAATTATTGGGTTGGCTTTATGGATCCACTCCTGCAAAAGATGTAGGTACTTTTCTAGTAGCCAAGTGCAAATGATAAACTGCCAACAATTGCACATTTTGATTTCCTCAGTTTATATTTCTTAACCTTAAAAATAAATAAATAAATAGAATGAGTTATTCATTTTACAAAAATCAGTTATTTTTCTTTCCAAAATTGTTTACACTGCTGCTTTGTTACATCATCAACAAACCGAAAAATCTGATGCAAAATTTGAGTCAGGCTAAAGGAAAACGACTACACGCTAGCTTTTTGGAATCTCTGCTAATTCAAGACTTTTTCCCCCTTTACTCTCAAACCTGTTTTTTTAGTTAGGAAAAACACTGCGCAGCATTGTTAGAATTTAATCAACAAATGTAATTATTTATAGATTGATATTTGCCTTCAGACAAAAAATATAATGACACAGAAAAAAAGACTGGTACAAATACCACATATCATCTACAAGACAGCAAATGAATGGGGACAATATACTAGCTTCAGACAGGGTTACCAGTGTTAAAACTATTGTCATAGGTGTTTTACTTTACAGCTTTTTGATTGGATAATATGCTATCCCTTTTGACTTTTATCGCAAAGTTGTTGTTTCATTTATTGCCAAGTTGTATCATTTATGGTAACCTGAGTAGTTGACTCTTATGGAAATCCTATTATGACATAATCATTTGCATTATTCAGGGAAATTTTGAATCATGGGATGTTTTGCAAAGGCTTTTGTGGTGTGTGTTGCTTAGAAAGTACATTGCTTGCTCCATTGTTTAGACGGTACAATGGCTGAATGTAGTAGGATTAATTTGAAGTTTCTGTACAATTTGGAATGAAAGGGAAAAAGTACATTAATTGTGTAAATGAAGGTTTACTTAGTAGCCATGCTCCGGAACTACGTAGTAATATTTTTGACTCTTATTTTTGTGAATTTCTGTGGCGACGCCGATATACGGATTGTAGTTCAGATAATTTTTAGAAAGTATGCTCTTAAGGAATTTTGTGTGCCACAGACTGAAGACGAACGATTTCTAAATAAGGTAAGGGGATTTTTGCTTTGTGTAGTGCTAAAATACATAACAGGTTTTTTCTTTTTTGCGTTATTTTATTGTTTGGTTTAAAATGTAGCTTATTGAGATTATGTATTTTTTGTTTGCCTCTACTGTAGAATTGGGTGCTCCTTTGACTTTTTAAGTGAAAATACAAGAACAAACTCAAGGAAGTGCGTAAAGCATTGTTTGTGCAATTCGGAGATTTTTTTTAAAAGTGAAAATAGGTTGATGTGTACATGGATAAAGTCAAGGGAGTGCACAATGCCATTTTTGTGCAATTCGGGGATTTTTTTAAAGTGGAAATAGGTCGATGTGTACATGGATACCGAGTTTGTGCAATTCTTTGTCTTGTTACTTTGGCTTTATATAGCGGCAATTTCTGGCTCGAAAATTGCCATTATGAAAGCCAAAATAATAAGTCAAAGAATTGCACAAATTTGGTATCAATGTACCGCCAAAAATCGCCAAGGGGTACCCTAAAATATGCTTTTACCGAACATTTAAAAAAAATTTTTA